CAGGCAGCAGAAGAATCTCTTGGCTACGAGACTAAATCTAGAAGGCCCCCATGGTTTGATGCTGAGTGCCTTCAAGCAGTAAAAGTGAAAAATGAAGCCTACAGAAAGAAGGTTCAGCGTACCACAAGGCTCTCCCAAGAAACATATCGAAGAAACCACTAAACCACTGATCAATTGTTCTCTCTGAGGATGATCCTAGAAAAGACTATGGAGCGTAAGGTAGTCACCCACCATTTATTCCTGGACTTTAAAGAAGCATACGACAGCGTTGATAGAACACAACTATACTGTGCCTTGGAGGAGCTAAGCATCCCTCAGAAGCTCGTACGCCTAATCAAGATGACCATGGACAGCTCGAGATATTGAATACGCGTCGGTTCTGATGCCTCCGAAGAGTTTAAAGTGAGCAGTGGGGTTCGGCAAGGGGATGCCCTCGCCTGTCTATTGTTCAACTTGGCAGAGGAGAAAGCTGTAAGAGACTCCGGTATTCAGACCAGTGATATAATCTTCATTCGCCTGACACAGCTTCTTGGTTTTGCTGATGATATTGACATAATAGGTAGGGCTGAATGGGCTCTCAGAGAAGCGTTTATTGGCCTTGAAGCAGCTGCAAGACCACTTGGTCTAGAAGTCAATGAGAGGAAAACTAAGTATATGAGAGTTGGTGGTGAGGTGGATCTGAACTCTCCGTTTGAGGTAGGTTCTTTTAAGTTTGAGAGAGTGAAAAGTTTTATATACCTTGGGTCTGAAATTAATAGCAAAAATGACATGGCTCAAGAAATACAGACAAGGATCACGGCTACCAATAGATATGTCTTTGGACTTGGCCGACACTTAAGAAGTAGGTATCTCTCAAAGAAGACCAAGCGGATCATATACAAGACCCTTGTTCGGCCTGTTCTGACATATGGCTCAGAGGCTTGGACGATGACTAAAAACGATGAGATGAAGCTGAGTGTGTTTGAGCGAGGAGTCCTCAGAAGGATTTATGGTCCAGTAAAGGAGGGTGATGTATGGAGGAAAAGAAAAAATAGGGAGCTCAGTTCTCTTTATACAGACATCGACATAGTCATGTATATTAAACTGGCCAGATTAAGGTGGGCAGGGCATGTGGCCAGAATGAGCACCGTTGAGATACCCAAGAAATAATGATGGAGGAGCTGCACCTCGCAAGAAGGGTAGGAAGGCCGAGGACGAGGTGGTTGAACAACGTGGCTTATGATGCGAGAACCCTGCTTGGTGTACGGAACTGGAGAGCTGCAGCAGAAGACAGAGCCAACTGGCGGAGGCTCTTGGAGGAGGCCCAGTCTCGGTAACGGGATGTCGTGCCACATATGATGATGATGAACAAACATTTGATTGGCGCAAGTACATTTTTCATAGCTAAAAACAAGTTTATTATTTAGTCATTTAAATGATTTTCTTCTATCTGAATTAAATCTATTAGTCTGTTATATCTTATCTGATCTTCTCATAGCTATGTATATCAAGTCCCTTATTTACTAGGAATATTTTGGCTTAGCTGTTGTGGCATTGATAGACAGGTCTGTGAGGTATTTTGAACACTTTGGAAAATTTGTCGACTGCATCTTTTGGTTCAATTTCTTTTTAAATTCAATTTTCATGAAAATTGATAATAAATTATTTGGACCGTTTATTTTAGAAAGGTCACAAGCCCGCAATTATCGAAATATACTCGCCAAATCTATTCTCTAAAGATAACTCTACATAATGCTCATAGAATGAGAATAAATTCATTAGAATGGGTAAAAACGTATGTGAAACGTATAGTTGATTTTAGAAAAATTACAGGTCCAAAATTAGTGACGTTTTCAAAAATCAAATGAACATGTAGCACCACACGTTTATACTAAATTTGTGATCTGTGATCAATATTGAGTATATTTTCTACACTTAAGTGAACCAGGTCTCTGCTGTTGTTATTTTCTAAAATACTGAATAAATTGTCATTACGCCTCAAAATCTTTAGTAAGATTTCAGAGACAAAATAGATAAAGACATTTTAATTATTTTTATTAAATTATGAACCTTATTTAAGTTAGTCTTCAGACTAAAAAAAAATAAACGTTACACTTTGATTCACAATAGGATTCTATTAATGCTGATGATTCTATTTGCTGATTCTATTAATGTTAAGCTTGTTTATCAAAAATACAATTTAGGAACAATATTCAATTCAGATCTCAACGCCTGGTGCTCACACTCAAGACTAATGGTTTGGGTGCTAAGAACAATGAAAAAATTATTCGCTTTATTTTCTCTAATATTGACTCGATTATGATTAAAATTATTTAAGCTGAATTCATTTAGCTAAATTTAGCTGAATTCATCCAAGTTAATTTTAAAAAGTGCATAAATTAAAAAAATTCGAATCTTCCTCATGATGGAGAAGGAGGCTGAAAAATTGAACGGATTTGTATTAGATTTTTAAAAATGTCATCATAGATTACATTTTATTTTTTTTTTATTTACATGCATTGAAATTATAATACTGAGAAACTTGTTTCTGGATTACTCAAAACCTATTTTTGGTGTTATACCCTATCTAAATTAAATTATTCACATACAAGGTAAACTTATTTTCAATATTAAAAAAAATACTCCTTAACATCATAACTTTCGCGACAAACATTACTGTATCATCTTTACTAATTCATTTGAAAGTAGGACAAAGTTTTCCAATTAGAAAATACTATTTTTAATTAAGTTTGAAGTAATTCAAAAAGACCTACAAATTATTCCGGAACCGGTTTTTTAAATTTAAACCATCTTTCAGATTTTCACGGATCCTTATTGCCTTCAATAATAAACTTCTGAATTTATTCTTTCCTTCTCATAGAATTTTAACAGAACCAAAATTAAATTAGTGTTTGTTTTTGCAATGCTGTTTTTTTTTTTTTTTTTTTTTTTTTTTTTTTTTTTTTTTTTTTTTTTTTTTTTTTTTTTTTTTTTTTTTTTTTTTTTTTTTTTTTTTATAGTTCTTATTATTCTTATCCTTAAATTATTGGTATACTGATATATTTTTAAAAAAATTAAATGAATTTTTTAAAAAATAAATTCTCATTTATTACCAGTTATACTACCGGTATTATCTCTACTATTTCATGTCTTGATGCTTCATGCAAAAACAAAAATAAAATAAATAAATAAAGTTCATCCAAGCAACGTCAATAAACATTGAACTGCCTTAATAGTGTACCAATATTTCTATATGTTACAATATATACGAACCAATTTTTAAATAAAGTGAACTATTTTTGAAAATAGAATCATAATTAATAAATTACTGTCTAAAAAATTAACTCATAAATCTAAATATAAAAACTGATGCCCTAGGTTTTTACTCAAGCGACCGCTACCGACAATTTGGAAGCAGATTTCTCTCTACAACCAGAGGTATCACATCTATCCTAAATCGTTAACAATATAACTATGCGTTTTTTTTATGTTTTTTTTTTTGTGTTCAATAAATGTAGCTACATGTGAATAGACGTACAGGTATAGTTAATATGTCAATTAAACAATGTAACTAACGGAGAAAATATACTGTTGCATGAAAAGAAGCATGGATTTAGAAATATAATTTTACCTGTAATGAATTTATTTATCTCTGAAATCAGATTTGTTATGGTATATGTTTCGTTTACGTGTACTCTTATAGTGCGTTGTAATGGTGTATCCTTTCAAACCTTATTTCCACAGTGACAGTTATCGTGACAGTTCAATCGTAGCCTCTGCCATAGTATTAAATTTTAAGAAATAATTATTATTACGAATACTTTTCGTAATGAATGCTGTATCCCCATGGAATAATGAAGCGTTTGGAAATTAATGGAAGAAATCTCTAATTCCGTAGGAGATTATTTTTTTTTAATGAGGTAACATTTATTAGAATTGTAGTATTTAATTTCAGAAAAAGCCATTATAAGTCACATGGAATGCTACATGCTACAAGTGGACATCAGTAACATTTTCGGTAATAGCTTATTATTATTACCCCATGCTTAAAAACAAAATGAGAGTCACCAACTCCTTAAATTATTTTCATGAATACCTGAAAATTAGAGACAGGAATAGAGGAAACTGAGGTTCAGATGGTCACCTAATATTGTGTAAAGGACTAATTCCCATATTCCATATTTAAAGAAAAAAAAACAGTAGTGCACCAATTTAAATGATGATTTATTATTTATACATATTTATTATGAATAAAAATTGTATTTAAATAATAAATATATTACAATACGCCATTAAAATTATATTGAAATAATTGTAAATAGCATACATCACTAAAACTTTTTTTTTATTCCATCCCAGGTGATGGGAAACAAATAAAAAATAATTTATTCGTTATTATTTATCGTAATTATTTTTACTGCGAAAATTAGTACTTTAAAGGGGGACAGAATTTCACCAAAAAAAAAAAAAAAACCTGATACTTCGAAGACCACAAAACTAAAATTTAATCATTTTTTTTGTTTAAAGTTGTAAATATTGTAAATATTGTAAATTGTAAATATTGTTTAAAGTTGTATAATCACCTCCTGACCTATTGTTGGCTAATCCTTATACACACCAGTCTATTTAAAATTTGTATTATTTCTCCAAGAATTGAATAATATCAAAACATTGAATAAAACCAATTTTAAATTTTAGAAATAATCGTCGCATTAATTTGATTAAGTAGATAGTGCAGTGGCTAAAGGCTCCTACAAAGAAACCGATATTTAGCGCGGTGATACGGCATTACAGTTTTATTACTACCTATTCCTTCCTAACGGTCATTTATTTTATTGAAAATAGTAGAATACCTATATTTACATTATATTCTCCAATTAATTCTCGCACTAGACTATCAAAACGGCATAACAAAGAGAAGCTCCCTTAGATCTCTTAGAGTATATCATGCTATACTGAATCAAAAGGAAGCATATGTTTTGAGAAATATACAGATTCAAATGAGTTTTCTTTACTTGCAGGAAGGATGCGTGTGGAACAATGTCGCCGGAAGGACGGTGACCCTCACCGATACCTCGCTCACACAGCTGACGGAGATCGAGAGGAAGATCTTGCAAAAAGTTGCTCTTGCGAAACTGCAGGCGCTCAACCTCGGGGTCAACGTCAGGATTCCATCGGGTACCAACATTTTTTTTTTTAAATTATATACAAACTGTTTCATTAATGTTTACTGCATTAAGTAATAATCTTACATGTTGACTATCTTTCAATAGAGATGTAAATATATATATATATATATATATATATATATATATATATATCCACCCCTGTCATGAAAGTTACAATCAGCAAATTTGTTGTCGTTGGTAATAAAAGCATTACAGGCATGAGGAAGGATAGTACCCCGCAGAACCTCCTCCTGGTCTTTGATTACTTCCTTTAATCATGAAAGGAGATCTCTCATCTAACTCTTTTTTATTCTCTTCTTAGTGGACATGTCAACCGTAACCATGGCGGATATAAGTATGTTGTTCTTTCCGTGTAGTTTAATATGAATTATTAATCTACTCCCGTGGTACAGAATCCTTTTTATCAAATTATTAACATCCGCCAAAAAGTTCGTGAATAGCTTCATCTCGTCGCAACCTACAAATATTTTATTTCCGAAAATTCTTGGAATTGGGACGTTTTCAATCGGAACATCGGCAAACTTTTTCTATTTACTAAATACTCATGAATGCTCATTTGGTTTCCACTTGAATCGTAAGATATGATCACAAAATTGAAAAAAAAAAATTGGTCTACAAACATATTGGGCCGTTTAGCCTACATAAGCTCGTTACATTTTGGGGGACGAGATAACGCCAAACGGCCCAATATTTTTGTATGCCAACTTTGTTTTTACTATTTTGTGTTAATATTGTCATACGATTCAAGTGGAAAGCAAATGGGTATTCCTGAGTTTTTACTACCTAATAAAATAGATGAAGTTGGTCGATCCCCAGATAGAACACTCTCTAATTCCGAGAATATTCGTAAATGAAATATTTGTAGGCTACGAAGAGATGAAGCTATTTACGAAGTTTTACTCTTATAACTTAATAAAATATGAATCTGTGCCACGGATTGATTATACGTATGTACTGGTTGATAGTGGGTTGTCGTAACGTAATGTAAAGTTTTGCTGTTTCCGTACCAGGGAGCTGCTCTTATTATTATTCTTAAAATTATGAACTAAAAATCTTGAAGTTTTTGTAGTTTTCCTGAACTATAAATCTGTGAAGTCCATATGGTAGTTTCAATAGGTATGTATATGTACTTAGCCTTTGTCGGATTTGCATTTTTGATTTGGAGAAAATAGAGAATAGTAATTTCGGTAAAAAAATGAACTGTAGCTGGAAAAATTGAAACGAATAAAAATTAGCAATATTTCGCGCCTCGATATTTATAATCATTAAAAGAAGAAGAGCAGGGTAAACATTATGGTATTAGTTTTGTAATTACTTAAATAGCAACAATTTTTTTTTTCTTCAATTTTTCATCCGCACCTGTCATGGTAGTGACAATTAGCAGATTTGTTAATAAGTCGAAAATGGAATGATAGGCATGACGAAGAATGGTGCCCAGCAGCACCTCTTCCCTGATCTTTTTACATCCTAAAATCAGAAAAGGAGATCTCTCATCCAGCTCCTTTTCAGTCGCCTCCTGATGAGCATTTCAGCATGTCATTGAAGTCCATTGTGATGTCCGTGTAATTTAAGATGAAATCGGGAGTAAAAAGTACGTATGTGCTGGTCAATGGTTGGTCGTCTTAGGTCGGTATGTAAAATCTTGTTGTTGACATAACAGGGAACTGCAGTTATTAGTCTTAAAATTTTAGATTGAAAGGATTGTAGTTTTTGTAAGTGTGTCTTTTTTGCTGAACCGTAAATCTGTGAGGCGTATGTCCAAATAGGTTTGAGCAGGTACGTGCATGTATTTAGTTTTTGTAGATTTTGATTTAGAAAACAGTGAGTATAGTATTTTCAGTCGCTTGTTCAAAGTCTTTCTTTTCATTTTGACGTGTGAGCCCCAGGTCATCCTTCTGTCAAATATTACTCCGAGGTACCGTATAGTGTCCTTCTGAGGAATTGGATTGCTGCTGATATAAACTGGTGGGCATGTTTCTCATCGAAGCGTAAATGTTATGTGTTGTGATTTTATTTAATTTTCCAAAGTGAATACCAATTTTGTAAATTTAGTAAGTGATTTTGAAAATTTAATGGGGCTAGTCTGGGGTCATGGTGTTTTGTTAAAATTGTTGTATCGTTAGCGTAAGTAGCAGTCAGAGGTGGTAGGCATGTCATACGTAAAGACAATGTAGAGTAAAGGTGCCAGTATTGACCCTTGAGGCTCTCCTGCTGATACTGGTCGAATCGAGGAAATTTCCAAACCCTTTCGGACAGAGAAGAATCTGTCGAAAAGGAAATACTGGAGAATGAGACAGTATGTATTAGGCAGTATAGTTTTGAGTTTGAAGAGAAGTCCCTGGTGCCAGACTTTATCAAATGCCTGGGAAACATCCGGAAATACGCCGGTTGCATATTGTTTTTGCTCTAGTGCTCCAGCAATGTAGTCAGTAACTCTGTGTAATTGATGTGTAGTTGAATGAAATGTACGAAAACCGAATTGATGGTCAGGTATTATTTTTTGGTCCGTCAGTATGTCAACCAGTCTCTTGTGTATTAATTTTTCGAAAATTTTGGAACATATCGGAAGGAGACTGATGGGTCGGTAGGATGAGGGATTGAAAATGTCTTTGTCCCTTTTGTGTATCATCTTGATATGTGAGTATTTCCATTGTAATGGGAAGTTAGTTGTCCTCAGAATACAGTTGTATATTGTCGTAAGGAACACTAGAGCTTTCCAAGGCATTTGCTGGAGCCAAGATCTGGCAACAATTAAATATCAAAATATTGCTTTCTGCAAAAAAGTATTAATTTGCTAAAGTTTGAAACTAAAAAACATAGTACTATAAACTAGATGAGAAATTAATAAGAATGGAAGAAAATCAATATTTCACGCATTACTAAATCCAATCACACTTATCAAGGTTATATTTAAAATTAAAGATTATAATTACAAAGAACTAGAAGAAAAATTAAATTGCTCAGCATAAAAAATAAAGGAAGAATATCAAAATTAAGTTAATAAAGACTGAAACCTATAGAACTTTCATTATAAAAAGAAAATTCTTATTACTGCGATAGAACAAACTTAATTAAACCGATTTTTCTCAGATATTGTTTTATTAATAATATCATTTTGATTCGTTTACCATTGAAGCAGTTAACCTTGTAGATATTTTGTATTGAAATGTGTGTTTTTTTTTTAATATATCAGTTATTAAATAATCAAATGCAAACATCGTTTATATGATATATTTAATAAAAACTATCGAATAAAAATGTCAATATATTTCTAATACTGACACACAGCTGGAGTCACGGCATGCAAAAATACATTTCTAAAGACAAACCAGGAATGGTAAACAACACACATCGTGGTAGATTACGAATCTAGAAGGACGAAAGTCTACAAGCCATCTGATTGACAATGAAATATTTTCTTCTTACCCAAACATGAAGGGATGGGTGGCCGAGCAGGCTATTGCATGTGCACAGCATCTCTTTTCCCGGCAACCTGATGAAAAACAATTTGATAAAATAATTACTTACTAAAATTACAAAATTGGTATTCACTTTGGAAAATTACATTTAATCATGACACACTCTATATTTCCAACATTTTAACAGCGATATATGCTGACGACACTGCAATTTTAGCAAGACACAAAAATCCAATGTATGCCTCACAGACCCTACAACAGGATTTGACAAGATTGCATGACTAGTTCAAAATTTGGAAAATCCGACTAAATCAAGACAAATCACAGCACATCACATTAACCCTTCGACATGAAACATGCCCTGCAGTTTTCATTGACAATAGACAAATTCCACAGACAGACACCGTTCACTACCTTGGTCTAATATTTGACCGAAAAATGACGTGGGTTCCACATATAATTAAAAAACGACAAACACTAAATCAAAGGTTATGAATTGTGAATTCACTTCTTTCGAAACATTCAAAACTAAAACTTTTTTTTTTTTTTTTAACTTTTATTATGATATTTACAACTGTATTAGTATGAATACATCAAGTAAATTTGTACAGAGAAATATTATTACATGAAACACGTTTGTTGAGAAACTACCCACTGGTAGCACTCTAATAATTTGTCTATATGAGAAGATCACGAGGCCATTTTCTTTTCAGACGCCTCGGAGGGTTATTAGGAATCGAAGAGGAAGCAAGGTTAGAAACAAGAGGATTTGGATGGTTATGAAGTTTATTATGGAAGGATAGGTATCTGGATTTGGCCAAATCGGAAACATATGGAACATTGAGGTCTTTATGGATTATTTTATTAGTGACAAAGTAAGGAGCATTGAGGATTTTACGAAGGATTTTGGATTGTAAGGATTGGATGCGAGAGGAATTCGATGGTTTAGTGGAGCCCCATAGCTCAACTCCGTAAGTCCAAATAGGTCTTATTATAGTCAAGTATATGAGTCTTTTGTAATTAAGGGGAAGTTTAGAGCGTTTGTCTAGTAAGTGTTGGAGTAGTCGGAAACGTCGAGCGGTTTCTTGTCGTTTCAGTCTGGTATGAGGATTCCAAGTTAGACGTTTGTCCAAATGAAGTCCAAGGTATCGGATTTGTTCAACAGGGATAAGTGGGGTATTATTAAAGGATACTGTGGGACATGAGGTCATAGGTTTACGTCGAAGGGTAAAGGTGATTTGATGGGATTTATTAGAATTTATTTTAATCCTCCAGTTTTGACACCATTCTTCAAGGCTTTTGATGTGTGATTGAAGAGTTTGGGATGCAATGGTTGGGTCATTATTAACGGATAGGACACATGTATCATCGGCATACGTGGTAATTACAGTGTTAGGATGGGTTGGGATGTCAGCTGTATAAACTGTGTAAAGGATAGGACCAAGGATACTACCTTGAGGAACTCCGGCAGATTGAGAAAAGAGGGATGAATAGGTATTATTGTGATTTACTTTGAAGTGCCTATCAGTAAGATAGGAACTGATGATAAGAAAATATGTAGGGGGAAGGA